ATACAGGTATTAAAATCGAATTAGCCACGTCCCTAGTGGGCGTGGACATATAAGTTTCCATCAATCTTTACAGAATCGTAACATTAACTTCCGAGCAAAAATTTGACCAAATTCAAATTCGTGAAGGAGTATAAAAAGAAGCCTCTAAATAAATGAAGGATTTAAAGTGGACGAAATACTGGGTTGAGTAAGGGATATGAGATATGAGGGATATTATATAATAAAAAAAAATTAAAATAAATAAATATAAAGTAAAATGTAGATATAACAGAAAATGTAAGAAAGGATCGGAATAAGAACGATATGTAGAAAAAAACAGAAGCTTTTTTAAATGGATAGGAAATACACTTAGATTTGGGCTTTGACGATCACGGGTGTATTTTTATATAAATATAGCAGAGAGATATTGAGATAGATAGATAGATGGAGTGAACGTAATACAATAGCACTATAGCAATAGCCAACCAACTGTTAGCTAGATATATCATTATATTTTCAATATTTACTTCAACTCGATAACGAGCAACATCTATTCTTTTATTTTATACATACATATGTATATTGCCTCTAATAGACATATGTATATAATGCCTATTATGCCATGACATAGATATTATGTATTCATCTATGAAATGATAATATAATAAAATAAACAAATCTTGTTCTACATATACATATCTACATATAAGATTGAAGATATTTACATAAATAGATACGAATACCAAAAAAAAAAAAAAAATCTACAAATTTAGATTGTCGAATTCAAATGACAAATTTAAAAAAGAAAAAAAAAAGGGATTAATTTTTGCTAGACAAGACCAAAAATAGAAAATTAAAGCTTAAACTAAGAGTATAAAAAAAATCAACAGAAACAGTTGCAAAATGCATAACAAAGCAAATAATGAAAAAAAAAAAAAAAGAGTTGCGCGTCGCGCATTCAACCCTAACCTCAGACAATCTCAACATACAAACATACAAATATGCACATGTATATATGTATATTATGTACGTGTATGTATATATGTGCATGTATAACTATGAACAGTGCAGCTGAGGACGTTGCAGCAGCCGTGTTGTCACTGCCAACCCCTAGCCACAAGTTGCAACATTGCGCGCTAAAACCAAAGTAACAAAACAGCCAAAGGGCGAGCGAGAGAGGGCGATAGATAGACTTAGAGAGAGAGAGAGGGAGGGAGAAAGGGAGCCTGGCATGCGGGAAATGCCCTGTTGCGACATTACGTCACGGCCCTAACAAGCCAAAGAGGGAAAGGGAGCGAGCGAGAAAGAGAGAGCAAGAGGGCGAGCAGCAGCGCGGCAGGTAGGAGCAAAGGCATCCCGAGGGCAACGACCAGCACACATTTGGCGCCCAACGAGCGCCTATGTGTGCGTGCGTGTGTGTGTGTGTATGGCAATAGAGCAGCGGGCAGCAGGCGGGGTTGTTTGGGCAGGCAAACGCGTCCCTACGCCAGCTTGTGCGCAGCAACGGCATACATTGAGCTCCTTTTTATTTAGTTGTTGTTGTTGTTGCTGCTGTCGAGTTGAACAACCTTTGGCGACCCTGAGAAGAGGTCAGCAACCCCTACAAACACACGCACACACACACATACACAAACGCACGCAACAGCAACAACAATAACAACAGCACCGCTCTCGCGCGCTCTCTTCATGTAGCTATGCGTATGCTTCTATGTGTGTGTGTTTGTGTTTTGCTCTTCGAGTCCTACCACACCACACACACACACAGGAACAGACACACAGTCGTGTAGGGCTTGCGGTCTCTTTTTCTCTCTTTAGCTACGCTAAGAGAGCGCACGCTGCTGGCAAACGGAACTTGCGTAGATTTTTTTGTATTTTTATTTTGTGTTTGGTTTTTATTATTTTTTGTGCTCTCTGCCAGTTCTTCTTCTGCTGCTTTTGCGTCTGCTTTTTGCCGGTCGTTGCCCGTGCGTTCGCGCTTTTGGGGTCGTTCCTGGTCGTTATCCTATATACCGAGAAAAATCTATTTTTATTTTCTGCCTGCCTTTTGCGCCTGCCGCCGCCGTGTGCCTGACGGTGCCCGATTGGGGGCGGTTTGGGGCAGTGGCCGCTCAGTGGCCGTGCAGACGGCTGTGGAACCGCCGGAAAACACGGCGAATACTTTTGTTTGCCTTCTGTTATGCACACACAATGCGAAACAACAACAATAACAACAGCACCGAGGGCGAACGCCTCTCGCTTCACGCCTCTCGCTCTGCTGCCAACTGTTGACAAACAAAACGAAGCCACAGCCGCAAAACATGTGCACGGATCAAACAATTGACAGCAGCTTTAACATGCGCTTATTGCTGCCAGCTGTGATAGTGCACCAAGAGTTCTGCTTATCTCCGCTGTTCCGCTGAAGGAAGACCTTCAGAGCTTCTTGAGACTGGCTAGGCTGACCCCCTGCCTAAGTAGCTATCCTTATTCACATAGTAAACCGCATAATTAATGATTTAACCTATCGTAACTCGGGAAATATTATAGCTAGAGAGTCGAAAATTGTTAGCCTACTATTAAAGCTCATTTACTAATTATTTAGCATGCTATTAGTAGTTAATCTATCATAGCTCGAGAAATTTTCGAGCTTGAGGAGTGAAATTTGCAATGAGGTATAGATTATTTCAATACATGCATAGGTAACCTTATGAGTATACATTAATTCGGAGCTAACTTATTGTAACTCAAGAATCTTGAAGCTAGCCAATATAAACTCATTCGTTAATATTATGGTAAATCCAAATGGAATATTGTATTTCTGAATGTAGTTATAAATTGTTATCGAAAATCAGAAATTATTGGGGTTAGAGAGCTGATTTTTATGGTAAATGAGTTTTCAATTATAGGTTTATTAATTCATTCAGCTAACTTTTCTGTTTGACTAACGTAGCTCGGGAACTATTTGAAATAGAGAGTTTAAAATTGAAATCTAATCTACCTTAGTTAGTCGCTAGCTCAAAAGCACAGCTAGCCTATCTTAACTCGAGAACTACGGGACCTAGATGATAACTCAAATATGGGCTTTATCATAATGTGCTTATTCTTAAACTGTATAATTATATCTAATATACGCAGCTAACCTATGGTAACCTAAAAACTATTTTGGCTAGCGGGCTGAAATTTGGATATATGTACATACATAGCTCAATCCGGGTTGTTTTATAATATAATATTTAAAAACCAGTATTAGCATATTCTTGTATGCAGTTAACCTATTATAACTCAGAGGTAGGTTGCTGAAATTTTCAATACATGAGCCGTAGAGCTATTTACTAAATTATATGATATTTCTTGTAAACATGATAAGCTGATAAATATAGTGTAAACATAATAGCAGTCTTCAAATTTAGATCTTATATGCCGCAATATACCTATATGTACCGCAATATATGTACAGATAAATAATTACAAATATCAATAGCTCAAAGAATTTTCCAATCCATTGAAATTTAGCCAGTAGAACTAAGAGATTTTTCTACATAAACACACTCCATAGACTACATTATGAGCTGTAACAGTGCCAAATAGAATTTTTTTTTACATATTCATATTATGCTTATCTCAGTGCATGACTAATGTAGGCATTGTCCAACGCCTTGTCTAGTCTTGGGCATGAATAATTCTTTAGCATGTAAGAACTAAAACAGCTTTCAACTGATTAATAATGACTTCAACTTATTTTAAACATAAATACATTTTGATGTCATATGAAGTGGAAGAAGAACTAAGATCTTAGACTCAGTTGAATAAAAACATGACAAACGACCCGTCCGCCTCTTCTCTCTTTCTCTATAGCCCTATCTCTCTCGCTCTGGTGATAGGTATAGCCCGCGTCTTCAAGTGCAATTACATTTTAGCGGGAAATCCGCTGCATACGCAGCCCTGTTTGGCCTGCTCGATGTTATTCTTGTGCTGCTTCTAGTTGTTGTTATTGCTGTTCTTTCTGTTATTGTTGTAATTTTGTTGTTGTTCTGCTTTCGGTTCATTTGTGTTACTCATTCTTCCGCATTTGCTGCTGCAGTTCGTTGGGGTCGCCGGCAGCCCGCTGCAGCAGGTGCTGCGGGCGCAACTATAAGATGGAGCGGGGGCGGGGGCGGAGGGGGTGTGGCTACAAGTGTCACTTCGCATTTAGTGACATTTTAGAGTTCAAGTTGCCACAGGCCACACACAAGTGCAGATCTATGTGCTTATACTTGTGTATGCGTGTGTGTGTGGAACGTACTTTGTTGACCTTTCATCCTGACGGCAACGGCGACGTCGACGCTGACGTCGCGTTGCATTCGCCGGGTTAATGAAACTGATTGACACACAAACACAACAACAGCAAAGGCAATGGCAACGGCAACAGCAAATTTCAAAACAGAAGACACACAGCAAGAGGCAAGTCAATAAACTTGCCAGCGAAGAGCGCAGAGCGATAGATGAGAGCGCGAGAGTGAGTGTTAAGAGAGCACTTCAGCAGTGGCGATAAAGAGAGCGCACGCGTTACGATTAACAGAATTGTTAATGTGGAAAAGAGTTATATTTGTATTACTTGTTTATATATTCAATACATTTCATTTATTATTTTAATAAGACATTTCATTTATAATTAAATAATTAATAACTAATTCATTGCAATTCCATAACAGGCTTGCGGTTTGTGTCTGCGCTATTTTGACGACGCTGCTGTCATCGTTATGCAGAATTTTGCGCGCGCTGTTAAGCATGCAGCATTTGTTTATGTATGCTAAGCAGAATTTGGCACTGTTAAGCTTGCGGCGTTACATATGTTACTGCTGTTAAGTCGCTGCTAGTTTTGTCTGTGGCGAATTGAGCTTTTGCTGAATAAAAGCTCCCTAGCGTCATCTATTGGCGGTGCAGCGACATCTTGGCGTTTGGGTTGCTGCACCTGCTAAGCTTAGCGAAGACACAAACGCTATTTTCTCAAATTCTTTCACCTATTAACTTTATTTTTCCTTATTGTTTCCTTGTTTCTTCTGCAGCACCCGTCTTGCCCGCGTCCACAGAGTCAATGTGAATATTGGCAGCTATATTAATCGCAACGTGACAAATACAAAAATAACAACAAGAACTACAACGCATAAAATACGAACTAGAGATCGACTCAGATTCAGAAGCAGCACTGAGCAGAGGCAGCGCAGCCGAGACGTGGGGTAAGTGATGCCCATTACGCTAATTTCAGTTGGGCATGCCCGACTAATAGTTCGACTAAGATTCATAATGGTTAATAAAGCTCATTGAGTAACACATACAGTTCTCTCCATGGGCGTTGAAAGAAGAACCCTATGACTATATGAAGAGAGACATCAGTAATTAATGAAAAAGAGTCATGATAAATCAAATGATGCTTATTACGCTTGCTAAATTTGAATTTATATAAATACTGTTCTTACTGACATTTATAGCAACTCTTATACTTATACTTATACTTATACTTATACTTATACTTATACTTATACTTATACTTATACTTATACTTATACTTATACTTATACTTATACTTATACTTATACTTATACTTATACTTATACTTATACTTATACTTATACTTTATACTTATACTTATACTTATACTTATACTTATACTTATACTTATATACTTATACTTATACTTATACTTATACTTATACTTATACTTATACTTATACTTATACTATACTTATACTTATACTTATACTTATACTTATACTTATACTTATACTTATACTTATACTAATACTTATACTTATACTTATACTTATACTATACTTATACTTATACTTATACTTATACTTATACTTATACTATACTTATACTTATACTTATACTTATATACTTATACTTATACTATACTTATACTTATACTATACTTATACTTATACTTATACTTATACTTATACTTATACTTATACTTATACTTATACTTATACTTATACTTATACTTATACTTATACTTTATACTTATACTTATACTTATACTTATACTTATACTTATACTTATACTTATACTTATACTTATACTTATACTTATACTTATACTTATACTTATACTTATACTTATACTTATACTTATACTTATACTTATACTTATACTTATACTTATACTTATACTTATACTTATACTATATACTTATACTTATACTTATACTTATACTTATACTTATACTTATGTATTTATACTTATACTTATACTTATACTTATACTTATACTTTATACTTATATATACTTATACTTATACTTATACTTATACTTATACTTATACTTATACTTATACTTATACTTATACTTATACTTATACTTATATACTTATTATACTTATACTTATGCTTATACTTATATACTTATACTTATACTTATACTTATACTTATACTTATACTTATACTTATACTTATACTTATACTTATACTTATACTTACTTATACTTATACTTATACTTATACTTATACTTATACTTATACTTATACTTATACTTATACTTATACTTATATACTTATACTTATACTTATACTTATACTTATACTTATACTTATACTTATACTTATACTTATACTTATACTTATACTTATACTTATACTTATACTTATACTTATACTTATACTTATACTTATACTTATACTTATACTTATACTTATACTTAGCACACATTGGCATTTTCATTAGTATAGCCGTTTGTACTAACTGCCGTCCAAGGCTGTTCGACGAAGGATTTCGCATCCTTCGACGGGTACAACGGACTCCGATAAAAACTGTGCCAACAACCTTCCCCCGGGTAGTTAGTTGCAGCATGTTTCTCTGTGTGTATGTGTGTGTGTGTGTGTGTGTGTGTGTGTATGTGTGTATGTGAGTGCGCCTCATAAATATGCAATGGTGGGGCTTGTGGCATATGTCTGGAGCTGACTGCGTCTGCCTTTGGCTGCGCTTCGCTCTGCTCGAAGCACACTTCAGAGTACGTGACTGTAACGTCGACGTCGACATCGGCGATGGCGTCGCAGTCGACGTCTAGCGTCAAGGATTCGCATGTGTTGACTTGCCTGCTGCTGTTGGCCTGGGCTTCTGGGTTGTTATTCATGTAAGGCTATGCCATGCCACACCGTCCTTGCCACATTTCCCCTTCGGGCTGTCCTTCAGTCTGTGAGTGCAACGAACGCAACGTCCTTTAACCTACATACACAAACACACACATACACACACACACACACACACACAGGGACACGGACAGGTTATGGAAATGTAAATATCGAGACCCTCAACCATTAGTTTTTTGTTCTTCTAGAAAGCTCTCATGGTAGCACCTACAAACTTCAACCCACCTCCCACCTTCTACCTTACGCTTAACCCCACCCCCCTCTCGCTCTCGTTCAGCTTTACGTGGCTCAATAGAAAATGCAGCTGAACTACTTGAAAGGCTTTACTAATCAATAGAGCGATTAGGATATCTATTTCATATGCGACTGAATTGTCTGAATAGTTCAATAGATCATAACTCTTAGCTATTCACTTGAACTTGTTCAACTGAACACTTAACAGTTATTATGAAACAGAATGGAGCCTTGATTCACGCTCGAGCTATTCTAACTTTGGCGAGAAACTGTTTCCTCGATAAATCACTTCTTATATTTAATAATTAATCTAATTAATAAGTAATTAAAACTAACATAATCTAGCTCTAAAAAGGCTTTACCTGAAAAGCGCCTTAACGAGATTTTATCTGTAGGTAAAGCTAATATAGGGTTACATATGGGGAACTCAATAGAGAACTTATATTTTTCTTACGCGTTCATTTGAACTTGTTCAATAATATAGGGTTCGATATGCTCAATAAGGTATTCTGTATATTATTTGTCTTAGTCGTCTATTTCAATTCGTTCAATTAAACAATGAACAGTTATAATAAAGTCTTGAATGATCTAAGTTGAACCCCTTTCCAGCTCCAGATTTTCCATTGATAACGAACTGTTTTCCAATATTGTAGCAAAAGCGTTTGAAGTGAGATCTTAAGGATATCTTCAGCAAAGCTTTTACATTGCTTTCATTAAGTCCTAGACTGGTAAAAGCTTAGTTAAGGATTATATGTACATGTTTAAAAAACAATTAAGAATTAAAATGATAATATAAATTCAACTCTAGATCTTCACTTCGATACAAAAACTTCCCCTTGCCTCAGCTAAAGCTTTCAGTAGCTTTTAGTTTTGCAATTCATTTTGGAGTTCAAGTTAAGATAGTCTCAATTGTGCATCTTCGACGGCGTCTCGCTCTTCTTCTAGCAAATATGTATGTGTTTGATTGGTTGGGGGTGACGTCGTGTGTTGCACATGGCACATGGCACTTGGCACATGGCATAACAAGCTTCCAGCTGGCAATCGATAGCAGCCGCAGCCGCAGTCGCAGTCACAGCCGCAGCCGCAGCCGCAGACACAGACGCTACCACAGCAGGAGGCGGACATGTCTATTACGCCATCGCCAAAGTAAAAAAAAAAATAATTAGAAAAAAAACTGTATCGAATAGTGGTGGCAGCAGCGATGGCGGCGGCGCTGGCGGTGGCGACAGCTGAAATATCTTTATGTTCATCGCGGCGAATGCAAGCGAACAAGCATGTGATATATGTATGTATGTACATACATATGCACAGAAATGCATGCATATGTATGTACGAATGTATATGCGTTCATGTGTTAGCTTGTTGGTGGGGCGGACGAGCGGCCGGGCTTCGATGCTTCGCTTGTCTTTGCATCGCTTCTATTTACATTTCCACGCTCATTCGCTGTTGGCGCCGACGCCAGCGTCGCTTCTAGTTGCAGTTGCAGCGACGACAGCAGTAACAGCAACAGCAACAGCGCCACAGCGCAACAGCGACAGCGACGCATCGCAGACGCTCAGACGAAAGCGAAAGGCCATTGTCCGGAATTTTGTTGACCTACTAAGAGGCAGAATGTAAAGTACGAGGCACAGCTACACTGTCATTGCCGTTGCCGAAGTCAGTTGCCGAGCAGAGACGAGCGTTAGCACGAAGCAAGCGCACATACAGTGCAAGCTTTTTCGTTTGCTGTAAAGCTTTGACTGTCTGCTCTGCTGTGCGCCCGTTTCGTTCTTAGCATTACGTTTGTTGTGTTTGTTTTTTGAAAGTTCGCCGCTTCACAAATTTAGCTATGTATGAAAAAATAACAACGACAACAACAAGCACATCTAATGCTCTGCATTTTCGATATTAACGAAGTCAAAGCCGAATTGTAGCTAACGCCAAGTCTGTGAGCGGGCATGTCATTCACCTTTTGGCCGCCGCTCTCACGAGCGCTCTCTTAGCGCAGTCACGAACATACACTCATATACACAGAGAGATAGAAACAACTGTGCTGTGCGCTATCGGCTCTGTCATTCTCGTTGTTTTCAAGCTGTGCTCAGGCGTAGGCAGCTGTTGGGGAGTGGTAGAGGGGGTGACGACTATGTGCCAACTGGTTGCCTGGCCCTTGTTATAGCTTGTTATGCACGTTGCTGTTGTTGTTGTTATTGCTCTTTTATGTTTAATTTCTTTTCGTTGTGTTGCGTTGTGCGCTCTCTCGTTATTGGCGCTGCGCAGCTTACTTTACGCCTACGCCGCAACAATGGCAATGAGGAGTCAAGAGAGCAGACAAGCAGAGGGGTCACACATTAGAAAACGAACCGTTGCCGTCAAATTTGATGAGCAATGAATGATGTTTTTTTCCCCTCATTTTTGCTGTATTTTTTATTTATTTTTTGTTTTTACTTTCTCTTGGCAAATAGAAATTAATTACACTGCGTATACATAAATACATGTACATATATATTGCATACGTTTACATGTGTTTATAGATATACATATGTATGTACATATGTATGTACAATAATTATGAAGCAATTAGCAGAGCTTTTTGTGGACATTCTAATTTGTGCGCACTCCGCATCGCATCTCATTGCATTGGATCGTTTCCTACATCATTTTATATGTATGCATGCAGTTTTATTTAATATTAATATTTTCCTCTTGCGCTCTCGCTCTCGGTGTCTCTCTCACTTGCTCTCTTGCTGCAGTCACGCTTAGCTGCACAGAAAGTTCAAATTTACAGCCACTGCACAGACAAAAGCACAGCAGCTGCTGTCGTCGTCGCCGTCGTCGTCATTGCTGTCGTCGTCGCCGTCGCCGTGCTGTCCAACTTGGGCAACTTTGGCGAGCTTTAACCTAGTTTAAGGTCATTTCCAAGTCAAAGATAATCAACAACTCGCCTGGGGTGGCAGGCGGATGGCCATTTGCATGTATGTGTCTGTGCATGTGTGTGTGTGTGTGCTAGAAGAGTTTTTATTCATTTGTTTTTTTTTTCTTTCTCTTCTGCAATTTGCTCATTTCTGTTTTGACATTTTTTACGTCCAGGAAAAAAACGACCAATGACTGATGTAGCGGGTGTGAGTGGGAGAGCATGAATTGTATGCCGCGATAAGCCATTTGGCATTTGTCAAGGACTGTTTGCCAGTTGGTTTTAAATTTGATCAGCTGTTTAAGAACAGCTTCCGATGCTGCTGCTGTGCATACATACGTATGCACATACAAACATACATACATAAGTATATATCTTATCTAACTGTTGTTTACACACATTTCGTTTGTTCAACGCATTTTTTGACAGTGTCCAAAATTAAGGTCACAATAATCTTGACATTGCGCGAGAGAATAAACGATGACGCTTACGTCGGCGACGAAGACGACATCGTTTGGTGCCGCCAGCAGTCAGATCCCCCGCCATCTACCCTCAGCTCGCACTTGCTTATGCATTGCCCAGCTCATCACCGAACCCGTCTCTGGCTCTCCTCCCTATGCTTCTCACTCTCTCTCTATCTCTCTCTCTCTCTCTCTCGCTCGCACTCGCACTCACACTCACACTCGCCTGCTTATCAGTCGCGCTGTGCGCATCGTCAACAAATTTGTTTTGTTTTTGTTGTTATTCATGCGCTGCCTGCGTCGCCGTCAACGTTGATGATAATGAAATTGAAATTTCATTGCTAATTGCGTTTAATATTTATAATTGACCCAAATAATTTGCGATTGGCTGGCAAAAACAACAAAGCATAAATGAAAAAGCTGAAAAAAAAAAAAACGCGACAAACTACCGCATAGAAAGCTACTGAAGAGGGTCAGATGTTGGGCAAGGCAACCGAATTCTATATATTATATATGTACATATATTTATTTGTACTACTATATATACATATATATACATATGTACATATATTGAAATATTTCTGCAATATGAATTCAGATTTCTGCTTGCCCACAATTACTCACCGTTATCTGTCAATTTCTATTGTCACCACAATATTGGATTACATTACGTGCAGATTACAATACCCAACAGACAACCAGCAACAATGATTGCAACAAGTAAGAGTGAGAGTGCTATAGCCGAAAGTTCCTGACGGGCAGATACCTGAAGCACATACATACATATGTACATACATACATATACATGCATGCATACATTCATACTCAAGCACGAGTGCCACTAATTTCGCCGTCTGTTCGTCCATATTAATGCAGAGATCTCGATTAAACAACTACTATGTAGATCGTAGATTTGCATAAAATCAACAATCCCTGCATTTTCATTATTTTTGGGTGTAGAGTATAAAAGCCTGCAAATCGAACTAACTAAATGTGCTAAATATTGTATGTGCACAATAATACAAGCACTCAGTGCACAATAGCTACACACACACACACACACACACACACACACACACACACACACACACACACACACACACACACACATACTCATACTCTCGCTCACTCACACGAAAATAAAACAGAGTTCAGGCTCCTCTTTACTTCATTCGTCCTCACTCCGTTCTCGCTCGCAGCTGCATCTGTTTCTATTGAAATACCCTTCCATTAATCATAGTGGTCATGCATTGTGCACCGACAGCTTCAAAGACTCTCAAACTTACATTCATATACATATCTAATGTTTGCAGAGATAAGATAACATTTTATGACTTGGGTGTTTTGATTTGCATTATTTATATTTATATAAAATGTCTGCTTCTGCTGCTGCTGTAGTAGTAGTACATGTAGATGTGTTACTGTCAGGGTATTCAGCAGTCAGTGCGCCATAATTAGCGTCGCTTGTTTTGTTTGTCTTTGCCTCGCCTTGGCTCGCCTCACTCGCTCGTACTCTTCGCGCAGCGAAAAACTGTTTGCTCTTCGCCCTGTGCCGACGTTCGCCCCGTTTGCCCCGTTCGTGACAAAAGTAGGTGAAAGGTCTTCAACCTTTTTGCATGAAAACAAAATTGTGCAGGGCATGGCAAAAGGGGGCGGGCATACATTTACATGTACAATTATATGCACTTGCATGTATACATATATGTGTGTAAGTGTGTGTGTGTGTGTTTATGTGCAGTGCAGTTCTCGCTTGACGTTGATATTTGTGTTCTTGTTGTGTAGTGCAAAAAAGAAATAGAAAAATTCAAATGCAATGCGCAAAGGCGAGCAAAGTGCACGGCCACGTGGAATGTGCGGGCAAAGAGACGTTAAGCGAATAGTACTGTTAGAGGGGGGGCACAGACTGACTGACTAACCGACTGAGCGAGCCAACTGTAAATGCGACTGCAATCATTTGCTATATTTAGCAAGGGGGAGCGCAAAAGCACGCATACATGCACGCACATTGCCTGGACTTGGACCTATCCCAATAGCCCAGCGCAGGCGGCAGGTCGCGTTGGCAGCGACGCGTCGCGCTTTTTCCTTTGTTATTTTCGTTTTGCTCTTTTTCTTCTTCTGCTACCTGCGAGAGACGGCAATGAAAGCTTTCTGCAAGAGGGAAGATGAGCAGCAGCTGTCGTTGTTGCTGCTGCTGGCGAGAGCTTTTTTGGCAAATGCACTGCAAGCAACAACAATGACACACAGTCGTCCCTCACCGCGACCCTCAAAAGCTTTTTTGTAGCAGAGACAGCGTCGCAGACATAGATATTGATTTTTATAGCCCTAGCTCCCGCAATTACCTGGGCCTAGCAAGCGTCGGCCAGCCTGTTCCAGGGTATATAGGGTATATGACCTAGCGTGCAGCGTCGAAAATAAAACCAGGGTCATGCCGTGGTCAGCCTACGGCTACTGACTTTCCATCTGAATTCTGCATCTACTTTGTAGCTCGCTCACCTGTAGCATCATATCATATCTAGTCGCAATTAAAATTAACTCTCGCTTTTCTTTTCGCGCCTTTCTTGCAGCCAACTCCAATTCCATCTGCGCGGAGCAGGACTCGCAGCCGTAGACGTTGTCACAGCAGTCGCTGCCTCGCTTACTGTTAACTCGGTAAGTAATGAGTATTCAACAGCTATGAGCGCTCTGAGAAAGATCGCGCAAAGATCGCGAAAAAGATATTAGTTATTTGAATAATTTTGTTCCTAGGCATGGTATTAGACTATTCCAGATAAATATATATGTATGTATGTGTTTGTGGATAACATTTTATTGATAGTTATTTAATAGTCCAAGATTTTTAATTCAATAACCATCAAAAGCTGTCATATTTATCGATTTACTTAGTTACGATATGTTAGTATTGATATATCGATATTTGGCTTCAACATGATTTCAATATGGACGTAGTCAGACTCACAGAAGCCTCTGCAGTAGTTAATCAAATACAAACAAGCAAATAGCCACACAGACACACACACACACACACTTATACGCACATTAATACATATATCCAATAATAAATACCCTTTCAATAACAACAACATGAAAAGCAACTGCAACTGCGAAAACAAGAAAATCAAAAGGCGAATTAGAAGCGCAGCAAAAATGCAAAAAAAAGAGTAAAGCACATACAAAGCAGACAGCTGTGTGAATGTGTGTATCAGTGTATGCATGTATGCATATAGAAGAAGAAGAAGAAGAGAAACTGTGCCAATGCCCTGACAACGGCACAAGGTGATGATGCAAACGGCAGCGGCAGCGGCGCACGAAATGACGCCAATTGCAATGAGATGGGTGGCAGATGTAAAAGGCATAGATGGCAACGCGATCAGGAGGTGTGGGAGAGAGGTAGAGAAGGAGAGAGAGAGAGAGAGAGAGCGAGCGAGGAAAGATGAGCTTACCAGCAAGTAGGGGCGGGCAGAGCAGCTAGAGAGATGGACAAGCGCAACTGGGTGTGGAGAGTGACAGTGAGTGTGAGAGAGCGCGCGCGCGGAAGAGAGGTGGAATAGGAGGACAACGGTTAATAAGCAGCCGAGTTGTGCAATGAATGCTTACTCGACTTGCTGTTGCCCTGTAAATGGCTGCGATGATTGATAGATAAACACACATCTATGTATATAAATACATATATATGTATATATGTGCATACATACATTAATTTCGTATTCATTGTATTTATTAAGTATGCGCATTTAGAGCGTAGGCTAGGGCATCTAATAGTCAAGTCACATGTTCAGTATGCTATTATATTTTATCTTGATTGCGATTACAACTATGTAAAATAATATGTTGACCATATGTTATGCATATATACATACATACATATGTATAGCATATCTGCTAAACCAATATGCCCTACTTGTGTTTCAATGAAAAAGTAAAAAACAATTTGTTGATGACGAGCCGTGCAATGTTGTTGCTGTTGCTCCTGCTGTTTGAATATACAACATAACATGCCACAGACGCAAACATACACACACACACACACACACTTGACATAGGCGCACAGTCGGTGGTTAAGAGGCAGACAACGCTGCACCCCCCCAATCCGCCAATCCCAGCTGCTTACCTTTTAATGAAGTCAACGTTGCAAGCGCTTGTTACGGCTGCACTAGGAAGGCCGGGGTGCATTTGTCGAGGCCATTGGCGGTTGCAGCCAGTCGAGTGGGGGAGGCGCAAACAAGGAAGTGAGTTGTTTTTTCTCTTTTCTTGTTTAAACGGGAATAAATGGCAGACGGAGAGAGAGAAAGACAGAGACAGAGACAGAGAGAGAGAGAGAGAGAGAGAGATGTCTTGACCAAGAGGTTGTCGTTTGAGTATCCATTTGGTCATTTTTCAAGTGTTTGAACAGTGCTGCAGTAGCCACTGCCAAGTCAATCCACCAGCCACCCCCAACATGTAGCTCAACTGTCTTATCTACCTCCATGCCCACTTTGTCCACGATTTCGCATTGCAAACATTGCGCGCAACTTCACCCACTTTCAACTTCCCATCCACTTTTGCTCTTATGCAATGGAAAGTGCCAAAGCAAATCAAAGCAAAACGCAACGAGTGAAAAAGCCATAAAAAGAAACAACTAGAACACAAAGAACACAGACAGCACACGGATAGACCTGGGTATGGCTAAAGGTTTTTGGCTTCTATTAAAATGTTAGAGATGTGAGAAAAGTCGAAGTTAATGAAACTTGATTTAGAAAACAATTTTCGTTAACCATAAAATGAGTAAAATATTCATGAAAATTTCCTAGAATATCAATCAATTAAAAGACATTGATATATATCGATTGATTGTATATCGATATATCGATTATATATCAGTAAAGTGATAAATAATAATAATAGATTATCACAATTGATTTGCATAATGTTAATATTTATATAGTGATTGATTGTATTGAATCTATGAATGATCTCTGGATATATATTAATCGGTTTACACATATCTATATTATATGTATCGATTTTAAATTGTATTAAAACAATAGACTATATAGCAATATGTGCTCCATCACAATGATTTTCATAGTCCAATATGATAGGAGTACAGGGTAAATTATAGTTGGTCAAACTCTTGCCATGTGTGTGTTTTTGCTTATGTGTGTGAGTCACGATTGCATTCGATTCGCTTGGCGACTGCCTCAAGCGCCGATTGCCAACTGCCAACAGCCGCCATTGACTCGTTGACCGAGCGACTCACTGAGCAAACTATGCACGCACACAGACATACACACACACACTCACACACACACATACATACGTAGCCATATCTGTAGTGCTGTGCGGCGTGCAATTGTGCGCCACCTTTTGAATTGAAAATAGTTTTTAGCAAAATCGAAAGTTCAATAAACTTTCACGTAATCGACAAATTGTGAGCAACATGAATGTTGTTGTCGTTGTTGTAGTTGTTGTTGCTGAAGCTGCTGCTGTAGAGGATGCAGTTGGGTGTGCAAATTGTTATTGTCGCGCCGTTGTTTGGCCGCATTCAATGTTGAATATGCATATATGCGCGGCCAAGGGGGCGTATGCGTAATGTGATTTGCACATTGCGTATACGCAGCGGTTGACGGTCAAACAATAACATTTTGCCAGCGCCAGGCCGCAAATTAATATACAAATACAAGCAGACATAAATACACGCACACACACACACACACGTATACACATATGTAGAGGCATCTAAATAGGTGTATAACAGTGCGTATAGCATTGAGAAATTATTGCATTGCCAATTCCGTTGCATTAGGCGGCCAGAGTGTATAGCTCGTGCTCGCTCCCTCACACGCTAAGTCCACCAGTTGCTACCCTTCTGGCGCAAAAGAAAGTAAACGGGCGAACAGAAAAAAATGAAAAAAAAAAAAAAAAATACAGTCAGCCACACGGAAAGAGTGAAAATAAATGAAATTACATAAAAGTAACAACGAACCCACAAAAGCAACAGCAACAATCACATGAATGCCAATCAGGCAATGCGACCAAAGCAAAAGCAAAAGCAACAACGGCAAATAAAGTAAGTAAGCAAACTGTAACAGCAGCTCAGCTCAGTTAGAAGCAGAGTGAGGGAGAAAGAGAGAGGGAGAGAGAGAGAGAGTGTGTGTGTGTGAGAGTTATTTGTGGAGAGCAGCATTCGCTTTAGATCGTCGTCATATGATGAACTTTTGTCTCTCTGAAATGTTCCTTCATATACATATGTTCTGCTCTCTCTCACACATACACTCTCATTTGGCTTAGCTGCTGCTGCTTTCACAACTATTCCCGTTTGGTCTGCCTCAACTCCATTTAAAGCTTCACACCGTTGCGCTGTGCTGCTCTCCGCTCTTCACACTCCACACCATTCTCCACCACTCTCCACCACTCTCCACTTCACTACACTTCATAGTGCGTGCTTCGCTCTTGTCTGCTTCTTTCCACTCATTCGACGCTTTACCCGAAATTGGGTCAGCCATTGAACCCGTTGCGACGACGACGTTGTCGGAATTGACGTTGGCGCTGACGTCGTCGCTGGCTGTGCGTCAGCGTCGGCGTCAACGTCGCTGCCGCTGTCTTCGTTCAGCCAGCACGTGTTCTTTTAGCTCAGAAGATTGACTTGACAGCAGCAACGTTAGCGACGCTGGCAGCAGCAGCGGCAGCGACAGCGACTTAAGACAGCGATCAGCATTCGTTTTGCTGCTTTTGCTTTTGCTTTGTTGCTTTGGCCAAACTGTAAAGATACATATGTATGTATATGAAAACAAAACTTAAGGTTATGGTCACTCGCAGTTACCTGGCTTGACCCGCCGCTGCCCCTCTTATGCCATGCCACGCCCCGCCACGCTACGCAACGCAACGCAAAAAAAAAAAAAAAAAAAAAAAAGCGAAGAGGAGAAAGAAAATATAACCGAAACAAAATTTCACTTTCACATCAATTACGACGCCAGCTCCATGTTGAAGTACTGTACTTGAAAAAAGCTTCAGCATGTGTGTGTGTGTGTGTGTTGATGTGTGTTAATGTGTATGTGTGTGTGCTGGCGTCTATGTGTGTGTGTTTGCGCTTCAAATGGCTGTCAAGTCGCGGCCATCAAAATTGTTTGACGCAGATCGACAGTTAAACAGCTGACACCCCAACCTTCCGCTGCGCTTCGCTCCTCGCTCCTCTCTCTTCTCTCTTTTGGCGCTTTCTTTTTGGACGCCATTTGAATGATGGCTCCTTGCGCATGATTCGCACAAAATGGACATTTCAATTGCTGCCCGAGTGCCGGTGAGCCACCTTCAACTCCAACTCCAGCTCGCGACCCTCACACACACTTGACCTGCCCCCCAACCCCCACTGCCCGCTGGCCTCGTCGCCCTGCACGAAGCTTGTGTCAATGAACGCTTAATGAACAAATTTACGCCCTTTTCGCAGCCTTTTTTTGTTTTGTTTGCTTGTCAACGGAAAAGATGCCCAAAAAAACAAAAAAAAAAACTGGAAGTTCAAGTGAGCGTAAAGCAGCGTAATGACAGAGCAAGAGAGAGAGAATAGGGCCAGAAAGGGGCAGGGTGGTAGGTGGGGTGGCAGGGAGAGTGAATGAGGAGCAGGCTAATGTCTAGCAGAGAGCTGAAATGACTTTGCCAGTCGACCCTCAGTCACGGTT